CATGGTATGGAATGCCCTGTTGGCCAGTTTGGGTCAGGTGCCCTGGCTGTGTCCTGTGCCAACTTCTTGTGCCTCTCCAGCTTTCTCACTTGCTGGGCATGAGAAGCTGAAAAATCCTTGACTTTAGTCTAAATACTACTTAGCAACAACCGAAAACATCAGTGTTATCAACATTCTTCTCATACTGAACTCAAAACATAGCACTGTACCAGCTACTAGGAAGACAGTTAACTCTATCCCAGCTGAAAGCAGGACAATACTTCATTAAGTCTCACAGTAAATACACCTGTAGAATCAGTTCAAGTATAAATGCAGCTTTAGAGATGCTGCCTAATAACCAATAACTGTAATGAGAGGACCATCTAGTGGTGACAGCCACAATTCACACTCTGCTATTTTAAAGACAAATGCACTGTCAATCCATGCAAGTCACTGGACTTCTCAGTCTTGGCTTTTTTATTCCATAGCTTTAATCGTTTAATTTAGATTTCAGCCTTCTATGATGAGACTAAATAAATGGGTCCGTTGATTTTCTTCATCTGTTCCTGTTATGAGAACATCTATGTCAATTCTTCCACATGTGAAAGTTGCTCATAGCATCAAATCATTAATCTAAAGACATGAGCAAGAATGAAGCTGCTAGCAACTACAAAATAGGTCTGTTTATATCACAATTCCCTCCTCAGAGAAATCTATAATACCTTTATTCTTAATACAAGAGACAAAAAAGAATCACCAGTTGAGAGATGACAGTTGTACTTGGTATGTTTTACATCTCTATCACATTTCAGCTAAACACATGTGCAGTTTAACAGACCAAATTATAACATAACAAGGGTTGAAGATTGCCACAAACTAGCAGGGACAGAGCAAAAACTTACATTGGAGGAAGCTGACTGAGAATGTGATACACATCTAATGGTGTGTGTTTCTGTATTTCGAACATGTCAAACAACTGCAGAGACATTCTTCCCCAGCTACCACAGTAATAGAAGCTGTGAGAAATCCTCCTCCCTAACAAAGCTGCAGAGAGTAGGCACGGGGAGAGGTTTATATAAGCACACATTTAACTACAAACAGCTGAAGGAAGCTTAGTGGAGCTTCATAACCAAACCAAAACATAAAATAGTAGTAGAGCTTTTGCTTCTAAGACCTGTTCTGCTTAATTTCTGAAAATCTCCGATAGGACTCAGTCAACCAATACTCAAGAGAAAAATTTCAGGCAGTTTCTCCTTAAAGACAGGCATCCTAAAGCCACTCAGCTGCTTTGTAAATTAGAGAATCAGATTCTACTCCAATACAATCTAAACCAAACTTTGATATTATGAAAACTGAAAGCTTGGTCTGAACAAATCTCTGCCTCTTCAGCCCCTGTAAGCATCTAAAGGTAACTGCAGGATTTTCAGCAACTCAGATAGTTAAAGAACTGCTGAACTGAAACAGAACGCAACTTCTGCACCTTTATGCATTCCTTGCTCCCTTCTTATGGAACTGTCCCCCAATTTTAGCAGCAGTCACCCAGCCTCAGACTTCTGTTCCAGCCTGTTTTACGCATCTCTTGCAACCCTACCTGCCCCATCCCATACTGTGGAAGGTTCTTGAGGACAAGAGAGCATGCTCAAGCTCTTTCCCCACAGGGTTCTCTCTAAAGCAGTGGGCAGCAGTAACCCTTAGCCAACTTCTTCACTGTTCAACCTTCCTCTTCCAAAGGAAATTGAAACTTTTCCCAAAGGAATGCACAGAGGCCACCACAGAGGCCAAAGGAGACATAGGATGGGAAATGGAAACTATGTGCTGGCTTTACATCCCAATTTTCAAAATTGGCTATGCAACGTTACAGCATCAAGATACTAACAAAGCACTTGGCATCTCAGTTAAAGTCACAGCTGTAGTGGCCCACCAGACAGCACAGACTGCATCTGCACATGGGTAGAAATCACATTATGAATGATTACAAGAGAAATCTGAATGCCAAGAGGCAAGTATTTTATCCGAGGAAAGAGCAAGCAGTAGTGAACTGATCATTTTTGGCAGTACCGAAGAAATTGACAGGCAACTGTTTGGAAGCAGTCCAACAAAAAAGAAACAGAAAGTTAACTATAACCCAAGTAACTGTTCGTCCCAAGAAAGGACAGAAAACCCTCAAGAATGCATTAGAGGAAACCAGTACAAACTAGTGTACACAAACTCAATCCTATTTTTCTTTTGCCAATGTTAACTGGTATGGCTGGGTAGAGTAAGTTTCTTTACCACTGAAGGTACAGGACTAAGACCTCCATAAAAAGAAAAAAGCATAATCTTCAGTAAGAGAAATCTGAACAAGACTGAGCAACTTCATAGATGAAGTGCTCTGTGTCAACTCCTACAGCATTCTTCGCTTCCTCAGATGAAAGATTACATTCCTGGGGGGACTGACATTCACATTCCTCCCCAACACGCCCACAGCATGCTTTCCACATACGCATGCTTTCCTCCTGTTCAACTGACATTCTCCTGTGTCTGCTTCAGTAGCTCTGTAAACATGACCTCTAAAGTGCCTCTTTCACCTTCACATTGTTTCAAGGATACTTCAGTATAGCAGTAAGACACATATTAGTCACAGCAGTAGCAGAAGGCAGTAAATACAAAACCACTCCCCATGTTTTGTTAGTCCGCTTCTAGAGTGTGGTGTAGAGGTCAGACTGTTAGCAAAGCAAGTTCAGCGCTGCACGCTTACAGCACTGTGACCACCACCACTCTACTGAAGGCAAGAGAGACTGCAAGAATTCCAGAGAAGCCTACGGAAGGCAGACAGTAAAAAAAAAAAATAAATTATTTATTTACAGACTGGTTGGTTCTCAATTGCAGCACAGAATATCTGCCAAAGACACACGCAGATAGTATGGCAGGCCAGACCAGGACAGGCATCTGTTTAGTAATATTAACAATGCTTGATAGGCCTCCTTTCGGGTTCACTCTGGCTGGTCTTGCAAGATGGAAATAAAACCACAATACTGTCATTCATAAGCCTCAAGGAGAGAACAGAGTATTAAAAATGATACTTAAAAAATCTGAAATAGATTCACTGCAAAAGGCTACGGGCAAGATTAAAAGCATATCCTTGACAAGAAATCTAATCAGACAGTCCAGGAAAGCCACATAAAAAGGACATTCAGTCCAGGAAATCTACAAAAAAGAACATTCTTTCATTTCCCCAATCTTTCTCCAGTGTCCATTTTGCCTATTTCTCTGATGCTTCAATACACGCTTTAGCAGCCTGCTATCAGGTACCTGAACATTCACTATAATGAGGTCTTAAATAGAAAGCTTCTTCATCTTATTATATGAACATGTATTATTTATTACATAACACAAATCTCTGCCTTCCTTGTTTATTAACATTTTTGCCACCTCAAGACTTGAGGTCATTCTTTTTCCACAGTGTCTTCCAATAAAGACACTAATGCAAACTGGAACATGGGGAAGATGAAAGGAAAAGGAAAGGAGCTTGACATGCTGGGACAGAAGTGCTACTAGAAAACAAGAAAAGCCTGCAGAACTTACCAAAGTTCCCTCTGCTGTTCTTGCTGCTTTTTCAGGATTGGCCCTCATTTTAACCATCCTATGTGTTGGGAAGTATTTGGCTGGCTGAGTAGGTTCTGAGGTAAACATTACCTTCTGTCTCCCTAGCTTGCAAAGACATTTTCTTCATTACATCACTTGCATATGCCACAGCTCATGATAAGGTATATAAGACACGGGTCTGGCATCAAGATTGAGCTGGTGGTCAGACTTCTCAGATCTCCATAGTAAACAAACATGCATGTCAAAAATCCAGAGAGTTTATTCTGCAGAACTGCATGGTGGTACACGGGTATTTGTTTTATTCTTCCTGAACCACTCCGGACACTCAAATCTCTTAGTTTACTGTTGCCTCACTACATCTGTTACTGCAATTCCACTACAGTATGTCAAGAAGCACACTACTCCCTCTTCTCAGATTTAGGAAACACTGTATTGTCTTTCTGCTGTTAAGAGGAATATGCCCATGCCCTGTACATTCACTCGTTAAGATACTCATAGCATAGATACCTTCTCACCCACATGAGCTGACTGTCTTTCCCAAGGTGGTTGTGCAAAATTAGTAGGTGAAAATCTCTTCAATCAGTATGAATTTTGATTAGCTGAATTTAAGCCCAGGGACAAGCTTGCGTTTAGGGTAAGGCATTGGAGAATATTATAGACACAGAACTGAGGGATTGTCTGCATATATTTGCCATATTGACTCAGAAGACTTTCTGCCTTGGTAAAGTGATATCACTCTGCCAACAGTTTAGGGATACTACTTGAGTAGATGACTACTAGCCCCCAAAATCGTTGGGCAAACTTTACTTCTGAAGAGAAAGAGCTGTCATGTAGAGCAAACCTAAATACTTCCAGATTAGAACACAAAAACATGCATAATTGTGTCACAAGTTCAAAAAAGACTGATAACTATTAAACTTATTCAAAACTACAAACACACCATAAATACTATTTTCCACTGTTATGTTTTTCCAATCAAAGTTGATTTTTTTTTTAAAAAGTCTCCATTACATATCTTCAAAGACACTTCATATTTTAGGTTCAGAGAATGAAGATGTTAACTATTTTCTTTGTCCAGGATAAGCAAGTTGCAGAAAAGCAAAACAGAATTAAAACATAGAAAACAATTATTTTACATGTTAAAGTATTTTACAAGGGAAAAGCCAGGGTTTCTGTAATGTTTTTTAAATCAATATTATCCTTGTAAATTCATATCCAGTTCAAGATGTGAAGAAATAACTATTCTGCATTTAATATTTTTTGCCTCATTTTAACTTCAGTTATTTTCTATATGCATCAGATAAAAGATACTATCATTTATAGAAAGATGGTTTCCTCTAGGCAGCAGCATCATGTTGCCTTTCAAAATCCAAGTTAAACCTCACTTGTTCACAGTTAAACAACTAATAATAAAGAATATGCAACAAGGAGTTTACCTTTTACACCACCAAATGGACCATAAGTCATATTACAAGCTGTTCGCTGAAGATTGTGCTCATACATCAGTTTAATCTGATACTGGTTCCCATGTTCCACATTTCCCAGAGTTCCTACAAAAAACAAAGGGTTTATATTTACATCTTTGATCCACGCAATGTGGAAGAAGTAAAGGAGTACCAGTTCAAACAACCTGAAAAAACTATAACTTACTCCTAGTGACTGTGAGGTATGAAGGCTCACACTGCTGCTTTCTTTAAAAAAATCACCAAGCTACAAAATTCCTAAAGGCCAGAACCAGAAATAAGGTCTCATTATATTAAATATGGTATAAAGACTTAATGGGAGGCTGAGATTTTGTTACTTAAATGTATTTTTCTTCATGTTAGGCACAACTCTAAGATCAGAAAAAAGCCTGCTCAAAGGGGAATTCTTACAATTCTGTAGTTATTCAGTGAATATACCATATACAACAGCCAGTCTCAGCTGTAATAGTCTTTGCCTCAAATCAAGCTGTAGCTTGTCATTAGCTATAATTTGACAAAGCTATGCTTAGGGCACATTTATCACTTGCCTTTGCTCTGTCTGAAATTCAGTGCAGTTATCAACAATGCAAAGATAAGAAACAAACATATGGCAACAAAAATAATTTTATGATACACATCACATTCTCTGAAAAAGTCTGCATGAACTTTAATTTCCTGACTCTTTCAGGGAACTAGCAGTTATTAAAAAAATCTTTCTAAAGAAACTGAAGTTAAAGCTCCCCTTTTGATAACCAAGTCTTTCCTGCACCCCATGAAGAAAACGAAGTTCTTCATCATGCAGAGTAACCCTTAAGGACTAATACTAGCAAGCAAAAAAAAAAACCTTTGAGAACAGTCACATCAGCAGGGAAAAAGGTGTCTCGAGTGAATGTTATCTAAGCTAAATCCTACCACAGCTTTAAGTATACAAAGATTATTCTGACACTATCTTAAACAACATGCTGCGAAAGATTTGTAGCTTATGCTAACCTTTTAGGCAATTTCTCCAACTAAAACCCAATATAGCTTTTAAGAAATTACCCCTAAAGCAGGCCCACATCAGGGCAGGGAGTGGAACAGACATGAAGAAAAAAATCCTGGCTAGATAAGTAACTAGCTAAGTAGCAACACCAGACGAAAAACAAGTTAGAAAGTAGTCAGTCTGTGTATACTGACTGTAATACAATATCCAGGCCATACTTTAGTCAGCCCTGAAGGATGCTTTCATTTGTTGAGGAGAAGCAACATAGTTATTTTATTATGAGTAACAGATATGGCAAAATTTATAAAGAAAGTTAAGATCCCACTTCATGAAAGTGTAATTTGCCATGGAAGCATAAAGAAATAATAATCATTATTTCTCAAAGGAGCTTGTTCAAAAGTACCTGTTCAGATGACAGAAATTACCATTACAACATGAATGCTTACAAATTAGTATGAAAAGTCTATTAAAGAATTGTAAAACTTTATTTTTGTACTTACTTAAATGCTTAAGCCATGTAGACCAAACAGCAAACTATAACTAGACAGGAATTCTAGACTGACGTATTGTATGCCATTAACACAAATTTTAAAATAAATTTTTTTAATAGAAATTGTACTGGTAGACTACAATCCTAAGACATAGCACTATTACAGAGAAGGGAAAGTATGAAAACTGCAGTACATCTCAAAGTACCATCCCTCAACAAAGACCAGTTTTACATGTGTCTCCAGATAAGATAACTAGAAGACAAAGAGAATCTGGAAAGTGAGCACGTATTTGTTACCTATCTGCCTAGGCTGTGAATAGGAAGCAAGCTGCTCCTACAAGAAAACCATGCTCTTATAATGAAAGGAGCCACAGCTGTCCCTACACAGAGAAAATGAACAATGTATAGTTGTCTACTGAATTTTGAAGATGGGTGTACAATCAATAGATCTCTTAAATCTGTGCTTTGCTTTATGCATATATTAGAATTCAATGCACAGAATACATATTTTGTGACTTGCCTCTTTACATATACAGAGAACACAGCATTTGGAATTTCCAGACAAAGGCAGTTGAAGAAAGAGGATTTAAGAAGAAACATAGTAGTTTCACCTTTTTACTTGTATTAACCTTCTGTCTTCTCTTGGGCTATGTTACCCATGTTCTGGCTTTCTAAGAAACTATCTGGATTTTTGAGTTCAGAAATAATTGTAATTGTTTCATTTTTAAAGAGCCAAGTAAGTTGTCATTAAACAACCATTTGTTCATTAGCACCCTGAACAGTACCATCCACTCCTAAAACTGCAATGAGAACGAGTTGTTCACAAGCACTACCAATCACAGACCATCACACACATGACAGCATCTCAAGCCCCGAGCAGATCAGCAAATCTCTGTTAATCATCAGGAAAAATCCAGGCCTAATTACTAATATTTCCTTTTCATACATGAGTTTGAGTTAGAGAACATGACTACAGCTCTTCAGGGATGATGAGCAAACACTGTATATACCAAGTTTAGCATTACCAAGTTTAGTACTAACCTAATCCAAACTTTAAAATACACTTAAAATCACTGGAAAGCTTGTATCTGTAAACTAACCTGAAACAGCATATACACAGAGTTTTCGGCAATGCAACACAGCCAGATGAAGTCCTTCAGTACCACTGTAAAGAAGGTTAAAAAAAGCACTGTTTTCAGATAAATTCCAAGTACAATGCATACAGGATAAAATTCAAGTAACATGTTGAAATTACTTTCAGGTGTGGAGCCTTTGATCTCAGAGCACACATCTTTCCCATGGTTAGTACATGGTTAATGAATTCTCTAAGAGCATATATTTAATTGGCTGTAAGAGAATCTACTTAGGAGAACTTAATTTTAGATATTAGTTCTTAAAGGATTCATTTTAATTTTGAAATTAACTTCTAATACTGCAGCATGAACTTTATTTTAAAAATGAGAGAAAAACCTGTACTAACTTTCAATACGAGGTTTTTCCTGTTCTACATACTTTAAATAAATTGTACAAGTATCTGGAAGATTTTCCTCCACATACACATTAAGTAAAAACTCTCTCATATCAAGAAGTTTCAAGAAGCAGATCAATGCATACTACAGCATTCATAGATGTGCTTAATAGTTGTCCATCTGGAAATTGAAAACCCACCCCCCAAAACAAAGAAAGAAAATCACATATAAGCCTTAAATAAACAGCAACACAGACTGTCGTTGACTTACGAAACAAATTTTCCCACTTCCACCTGCAATATTGGTTCTCGTAACTGCACTTCCAAGAGCAAGTCTTCAGGTTGTACTCCATCTCCAGGTTTCACAGGTTGTGGATTAAAGATTCGGAGATATCCCATATAACTGGCCACAATAATTTTATCTAAAAAAAAAAATAAAAAAAAAAATCGCCCACTAAAGGAGACTACAGAATACTACAGCTCATGTGGAATTAAATTTGCTGCAGAAGTGCTTCAAAGAATACTCTAAAAAGAGAGAATATTTACATCATTCAGTTAATGTTGATTATGCTGTGTCTTCTAGGTTAAGAGTAGCAATTAGCTTTTTTGTAAATCCATGAAAACCTGTCAGTAAAGGGTTCAATATGGCAATTATCAAGGTGGTGGCACTGACCATTGTTACTATTCCATCATTTTAGACTATGTTCACACTTCTTAAAAAGTCCCGTTCTGGTTTTGACGAGTAGTTCAAACTTTCAGCTTCTACATCTGGAATTTGTGCATACACATATCACACCAACAGAAGTGTGAAATTTTAACATTGGGACTGATGACATTTATCCAAATGCAAGCTGAAGCCAGGTAATTGCTACATTAGGTCAACAAAGCTAGGCCTTGAGGTCACCTACTCTTGAGACAGATCCATTACCTCAAAGGGGAATGCAATAGTTACATCAGACTTATTTTGGAATCAGTATTTTAAGCAAGTAGTTATTTGGTTGTTAGTGAATAACAAAAAATTATTAATGAAAAAATCCCAACAAGGTGCCTCCCATGATAACTACCGACAACTAGAGTTGGTTGCCAGTACTTATTTCCTCTAGATGTAGGTCCTCGTATCAATGCAGATCAAAATCAAAACCAATAAAACTTGTCCACAAGTCAGGACAATGTACAAGTATTCCTAAACAAAGTCCACAAGGCTCTAAAGGCTTGGCATAGTTCCACAGGACCCCACATCAAAAGCTCAGAACAGCTGCTTGCTTCCTCTCTTCTTCAGTCACAAAAAAACTTCCACACCCAAGTCCGTCATTCAGTGAATACTGACTGCCGTCCCCACTCTCATCTTATCCTCAGTTGAGTAACAAGTATTCCATCAGCAGTAAACTAAATCCATTTTAGTTATTAATTCCTTAAAAATACTTAAATGAGGACATTTTGACCTGTGGTTAGGCAATTGCAACTAGCTGATTCACTTTTGGTCCTGAACTCCGGAAGAAAAAGAGCCTAGTCTAAAAACAAAGAGAAAATATAATGTTGAGAAAGTAAATAAAACAGCAGACTACCACTCCCACGAAACTGTTTAAGTCATGCTTTTATATCAGTTGCATTTTTTTCCACTAGGAAAAGACTATTCAGAACTCTGGCAGAGTTTCGGGGTTTCTGATCACAGGTCAGTCTACACAACACCAAGTCTGCAGGCAACAGATGGGCTACACTTGTCCCAAAGGGGGAAAAGGATCTTTGCACAGGAGTTAGCAGGGCTCACTGAAAGAGCTTTAAAGTAGATGTGAAGGGGGGAAGAGATAAAACTAGGCTCGCTAGAGATAAGCCTGGGGACACGTCTCCAATGTTTGAGGGGACAGTGTGCTAGCAAGGTCCTTTGGTCTGCTGTCTCAGTGGAGGTAGGGGATAGAGATCCATGTGGCGGCAAAGACGCAAGGGTTAAAACATGTTAGAAACCATGGAAGCACCTGAGAACAGTCACATAGGAACTAGGACTTCTCCCCCAAAAAAGGTGGCCAATGCATGCATGCAACATGAGCAACAAACAGGAGGACCTGGAAGCTATTGTGCAGCAGGAAAACTGTAATACAGCTGCCATCACGGAAACATGGTGAGATGACTCACACAACTGGAGTGCTGCAATGGATGGCTATAAACTCTTCAGAAGGGATAGGCAAGGAAGGAGAGGTGGTGGGGTAGCCCTGTATGTTAGGGAGTGTTTTGATTATCTAGAGCTTGATGATGGTGATGAAAGGGTCAAGTGTTTATGGGCAAGAATCAGGGGAAAGGCCAACAAGGCAGATATCAGGGTGGAAGTCTGTCATAGACCACCCAACCCGGATGAAGAGATAGATGAGATATTCTATAAGTAGCTGGGAGAAGTCTCACGATTGCTAGCCCTTGTTCTCATGGGGGGCTTCAGCTTACCAGATGTCTGCTGGGAGTGTGTGGAAGATAACTTCCTCACACAGCTGGTGAGGGAGCCAACCAGGCAAGGCGCACCACTGGACCTGTTGTTTGTGAACAGGGAAGGACTTACGGGTGATGTGATGGTTGGAGGCTGTCTTGGGCATAGCAATCATGAAATGATAGTGTTTTCGATTCTTGGAGAAGAGCAGAGTTAGCAGAACTGCTACCCTGGACTTCTAAAGGGCAGAATTTGTCCTGTTTAGGGGCCTGGTTGACAGAGTCCCTCGGGAGGCAGTCCTGAAAGGCAAAGGAGTCCAAGAAGGCTGGACATTCTTCAAGAAGGAAATCTTAAAGGCACAGGTGCAGGCCGTCCCCATGTGCCAAAAGACGAGCCAGCAGGGAAGATGACCAGCCTGGCTGAACAGAGAGCTTTGGCTGGGACTCAGGAAAAAAGAAAAGAGAGTTTATGACCTTTGGAAGAAGGGGCAGGAAACTCAGGAGGACTACAAGGATGTCATGAGGTTATGCAGGGAGAAATTTAGAAGGGCCAAAGCCCAACTAGAACTTAATCTGGCTACTGCCATAAAAGACAATGAAAAACGTTTCCATAAATACATCAGCAACAAAAGGAGGGCTAAGGAGAATCTCCATCCTTTATTGGACATGGGAGGAAACATAGTGACAAAGGATGCGGAAAAGGCTAAGGTACTTAATGCCATCTTTGCCTCAGTCTTTAGTAGTTAAAGACCAGTTGTTCTCAGGGTACCCAGCTCCCTGAGCTGGAAGACAGAAACGAGGAGCAGAATGAAGCCCCCATAATCTGAGGGGAAATCATTAGCAACCCGCTACACCACTTAGACACACACAAGTCTATGGGGCCAGATAGGATCCACCCAAGGGTACTGAGGGAGCTGGCAGAAGTGCTCACCAAGCAACTTTCCATCATTTATCAGCAGTCCTGGCTAACTGGGGAGGTCCCAATTGACTGGAGGTTAGCAGATGTGACACCCATCTACAAGAAGGGCCAGAAGGAAGATCTGGGCAACTACAGGCCTGTCAGTCTGACCTTGGTTATGGAAGGTTATGGAGCAGATCATCTTGCATGCCATCACATGGCACGTACACAACAACCAGGTGATCAGGCTCAGTCACCACGGCTTTATGAAAGGCAGGTCCTGCTTGACTAACCTGATCTCCTTCTATGACAAGGTGACCTGCTTAGTGGATGAGGGAAAGGCTGTGGATGTTGTTTATCTGGACTTCAGTAAAGCCTTTGACACCATTTCCCACAGCATTCTCCTAGAGAAACTGGCTGCTCATGGCTTGGATGGGCACACTCTTTGCTTAGTTAAAAACTGGCTGCACAGCCAGGCCCAAAGAGCAGTGGTGAATGCAGTTAAATCCAGCTGGCAGCAAGTCACAAGTGGTGTTCCTCAGGGCTCAGTATTGGGGCCAGTTCTGTTTAATATCTTTATCAGTCATCTGGACAAGGGGATCGAGTGCACCCTCAGTAAGTTTGCAGACAACACCAAGTTGGGTGAGAGTGTTGATCTGCTTGAGGGAAGGAAGGCTCTACAGAGGGATCTGGACAGGCTGGATCAATGGGCTGAGGCCAACTGTATGAGGTTCAACAAGGCTGAGTGCTGGGTCCCACACTTGGGTCACAACAACCCCATGCAACACCACAGGCTTGGGGAAGAATGGCTGGAAAGCTGCCCAGTGGAAAAGGACCTGAGGGTGTTGGTCAACAGCCAGCTGAATATGAGCCAGCAATGCCCCCAGATGGCCAAGAAGGCCAATAGCATCCTGGCTTGTATCAGAAACAGTGTGGCCAGCAGGACTAGGGCAGTGATCATCCCCCTGTACTCGGCCCTGGTGAGGCTGCACCTCAAATACAGTGTTCAGTTTTGGGCCCCTCACTACAAAAGAGACACTGAGGTGCTGCATCACTTCCAAGAAAGGGGCAATGAAGCTAATGAAGGGTCTAGAGCACAATTCTTACGAGGAGTGGCCAAGGGAACTGGGGTTGTTTAGCCTGAAGAAAAGGAGGCTGAGGGGAGACCTTATCACTCTCTACAACCACTTGAAAGGAGGTTGTAGCAAGGTGGGTGTCGGTCTTATCCCAAGTAACAAGCAATAGGACAAGAAGAAATAGCCTCAAGTTGCACTAGAGGAGGTTTAGATTGGATATTAGGAAAAATTTCTTCACTAAAAGGGTTGTCAAGCATTGGAACAGGCTGCCCAAGGAAGCGGTTGAGTCACCAGTCCTGGAGGTATTTAAAAGTCATGTAGATGTGGCACTTAGGGACATGGTTTAGTAGTGGACTTGGCAGTGTTAGGTTTGTAGCTGGACTTGATCTTAAAGGTCTTTTCCAACCCAAGTGATTCCATGATTCTATGAATTTCTACTGAAAAAGGTTGTACACCAAACCAGTAACAGCTCAACTTTGTATAAATGCTCCTGAAAAAAGGGACAAACTAAAATAAAAATAATTTTTAAAGTATATGGCAATGGTGAAATCAAACTCAAGTACCTCTGAGCAAAAACAAAGCTCTAAGATGAGCATGAGTGTATCAGAGAAAGATCCCAAATATTTTTTAAAAAACATACATACAAGAACACTCCCTGACAGCAAAGATCATTCCAAATTATTAATGACTACACAGAAAAGAAGAGTTTATTCAGAGTCACTTATTTCAATGGATCCTTATTTTCCAGGCAGAAAAGGTTGTCTGTTTTTCTAAATTCTTAGCTCTCACCTTCCTTTTTTTCCTTAAGTTTTTTTAAACTACTTACAACATGTCTTTGCTCCCATGACTAACAAAATATTGTATTTTAAAGATATCTACCATTGACGAATAAGGCATGAGAAAAACTACTATTGAACACAAGGGAGAATTTAGATGTTTAGAAACCTACAAATATACAAAGACAAATAGCATTGAATTTGTCTTAAGCCTACAGGGACACATAAAAGATAGCAGACTTTAAAATACCTAGCCAACCAGACTGGCTAACAACCTTTCAGCATGCATTTGCCAATTAAACTTGCAGCTGTATAGCTTAAAAGCCAGCAACCATGACATTCTGAATTTACCTTGTCCACTGCCACTATTATCAACATCAGCAACACAGAGACAGCCTTGGTCAAATTCTTCCTTTTCTCCAAGTATGGTGGACCACCAGTCTCTAGCTTTAAACAACGACATTCTTCTTCACTGAAAAGGAAACAAATCATTGTTAAAGTGTATACTAATATATACACAAATGTTTCTACAAACAACTTTTTCTTCATTAGCAACAACTTTCATTAAGTATATTACATCTCCTAGCTTCACATTGCTCCAGTGTGAGATGAATAAGTGGGGATTTTTTCAGGTATCTTGGGTTTATGGTTATGTAGTTTATAAAACAACCTTAGGAAACTTCTTGCCATTAGTTTGCAAATTAGTTGTGATAGACACTGCTAGTTATATGAAGAACAAGCAAAATATAACAGCTTTTTAAAAATTGTTAAAAGTCTTCTGTAACAAGCATTAAGAAAGTAATATAAGTTTTCAAAGTCACAGAACTGAGGTTTTCTCTCTTACCAAGGCATATCAGGAAAAAAAGATTCTGATGTAAGTCTTCTGCAAGAGAACTTATTTTTAGAAAAGTAAATGAAGACATAAACAGACCTCAAACCTCCACCAAGTAATCGCCTTGAAGATGCCCTAGTGACACAACTAAAGAACGGAGTCAGAGAGGGCACAAATCAGCTTTTCTGCTCCCTACCTGCTGTTATTTTAGGAAGGGGGGGAGGGGGAGAGGAGACTAATCCTTTTGTAGGCAGCTTGACAATAACATTACCCTAGTTCAAAACTCACAGCTCCATGCCTATGCTCTGCCACGAGTGGGACAAACCTGAACACAGTAGACCCCACACAGCCCGCAGGGGAGGTGAGGGGCAACCAGGCAGCACCAGCTCCGGCGGTTCTTTCCGGAAAGAAGGAAAAATGATGGGCTCACCCCTTGTTTTCCTTCGGAGCAAACGCAGCCTGCAAGCCCGCGCCTTCCCTCCTTAAAGGAAACAATAGCTAGCAAATAAAAACATTTATTTTTTCACCTTAGGCGGTTACCGTTGTCATGCCAGCCAGGCAACCCGCTGCAGCCGAGTGCAGGCTGGCGACAGCACAGCCCTCACCACACCCCCTCGCAGAGCCGCTGTGCAGCACCCACAGCACCTCCACCCGAGCCCTACACCTCAGGAGCCGCGTCCAGACACACACACACACACCGGATTGGGAGAAGAGAGACAGAGACCAGCAGGGGGTTACCTGGGTGGAAGACGGCACCTCCCCGGGCGCGGTGCGGTCCGACTTGCTCCGGGGCGGCAGTCCCCCTTCCTCACGGGAGCTCCTCGCTCAGGCTCAGCCGCCCGAAGCGAAGCGAAGCGAAGCGAGAGACGCAGACCGGCACCATTACAGCTCCCTCCCCCTTGCCGCCGCCATCTCCACTGTTCTTCTCAC